AAATAATGGCTTTCTTCAGTCCCATGAATTGATCAGTAGCATTACTTTGCAGCACTTGCTTTGGGGTCCTGCCCGTGAACTCATGCTCAGATCCTGATCTTCTTGTTCTCTGAAGGATTCCAAAATTGCTGAATACAAAGAAACTTTGGGTCACCAGTCACAATTTGCTTTTATAACCAGTTAATTTGTCAACAAAAAGAGTTAATGAGCTCTTTCTCTGCCGCCGCCGAGTCGCGCGGAGGCGGTTGCTCGGGTTTGTTGAAGATTCAGCTTTATCCGTAATCCACCGCTATGGCCGAGGAAGGCATTGCTGCTGGAGGTGTAATGGACGTCAACACTGCTTTACAAGAGGTGCTGAAGACCGCCCTCATCCACGATGGCCTTGCACGTGGAATTCGCGAAGCTGCCAAAGCCTTAGACAAGCGCCAGGCCCATCTCTGTGTACTTGCATCCAACTGTAATGAGCCTATGTATGTCAAATTGGTGGAGGCCCTTTGTGCTGAACACCAAATCAATCTAATTAAGGTCGATGACAACAAGAAACTAGGAGAATGGGTAGGCCTCTGTAAAATTGACCGAGAGGGCAAGCCCCGTAAAGTGGTTGGTTGCAGTTGTGTAGTTGTTAAGGATTATGGCAAAGAATCTCAGGCCAAGGATGTCATCGAGGAGTACTTCAAATGCAAGAAATGAGGAAATAAATTTTTCGTTCACATTCCTCACCTCTAGCTTTTTATTTGGGGCAGTTATATAAGGTCCTTTTAGTGAAGGGACATTAACTAACAAATTCTGGAAGCATGTTCTACAACAACTCTATGGTTTCTAGCTAAAAAAAACAATTATTGATGTGGTTTTGGCATTTAAACTTGAGTAGCCTAAGAAGCAAAAATATGCCTAACAGAAGGGAGTGAGGACTGACAAGACCAGCTTACAACCTGGAGAAAAAGACTGAGTTTAGGAGAGTAGGTATTTACAGATTAAAATCCTACAGCTTAATAGTGATAGCCAAAATCAGGGCAAATTAGAAAAGTGTACAGGTTAATAAATGGGTGGCTGTGGGATGCTACAAATGCATGATATCCTAGTTAACTTTTATCTAAGATTTGGTCACTGAAGCAAGAGATGTTTCAACATAACCCAGTCTCAAAAATTGACCAGTATATTCAAGTTTATGTTAAGTTTCTGATTAAGAGCATGTGGCTTAAGGCTTTAAATGAGCCAAATATGTATTGAATGCTTGTTGCACTGAGCTTAACCAGTTTAGCTGAGAGCTTACTGAGCTCTATGAACATGGTGTTCATGGTGGTTGTTTCCTCAACTGTTATACATAAATTAATACATAAATAAACCTTTCCAAGCATGAAAAAAAAAAAAAAAAAAAGAGTTAATGATTCTTTGAATCATTAATGATTCTTTTGACTTCCTTTACAGTAAGTGTGTTCAGTAACCTACTGGGATAAATGAAGCAGGCAGCTTGGGCAAGAGGCCACTCTGCTCCCTGTCACTCTGCCTCTGCACCTGCTTCTGTCTCCTTTTTATTTTCTTACAGGTATAAACATGGCTGTGCATGTATTGCTATTTATTATGCTGATTTGAATTCTTTTGAATAAGTACCAAGGGGTGTTAGAGTTGGGTCACGTGGTGGCTTTGCTCCTAGTCTTTGAAGAACTTTCATTTGACATTTATTAATTGGAGTATTTGGTTATTTAGAAATAAGATTTTTTTTAGTTCTTTTTACATTCTGTCAGAAGAATTGCTGGCAAAGTTTTCTTCCCATTACTTGCATCTTTCTTCACAGACTTGCTTCCATTGCTCTGCAGAACTGGTTTAATTTGGTGTCTTTCTATTTGTTGATTCATTATTTTATTTCCTAAATTTTAGGAGTCTTATTGAGGAAGTCAGTGCTGGGAACTATACGTCAGAGAATTGACCCTATGTCTTCTTGTAACAGTTATAATGTTTCTGGTCTGATTCTAGGTCTTTGACCCACTTTGTGTTGACTTTTATATTAAGGTGAAGTACAGGGATCTACTTCATTGATTTCTTGTAAAATCTCCCTGGGTGACATGTTTGGACCACCCTAGCAGAGGGACTAGACAGGAAGGACAGATTGTAGCAGTACAGTCAGAGCCTCCTGTGCCACCAGGGATAACTGCAGACTGTACACAGCAGGCACTCGAGGGCACTGGGGATAACAGTGACCAGTGCAGCACTGACTCAGGGGTCACCCAGCATTTCCATTAGAGAACATGAACTTGGTTCCCACTGGGAACAAGCATAGTGCAGCACAGAGCTGGACTGGGGTCACCCAGGGATCACTGTAGTCCAGTGGATGCTGGACTCTGCTTTCCCTCAGACATAACACTGGTCCACGACAGGACATGGACAGAAGTTCTGTACTGAGCATGGACTCTGGTGACACTGTGGGATCCAGCAGAGAGCAATAACTGGGGTCACATCTGGTGACAAGTGTAGGCAGAGGGTGCTTCAGAGGAACTATATGTAAGTGTCATCACACTCTTGACACATGGATGCTTTCCAATAAAGTAACCATTTTACCAAAACTGCTAAATGGACACTTCTCAGAAGAAGAAATACAAATGGCCAACAAATACATGAAAAAAAAAATGTTCAACACCCCTAGCAATCAGGGAAATGCAAATCAAAACGACATTGAGATTTCATCTCACTCCATCAGAATAACAATCATCAAGAACACAAATAATGAGTGCTGTGGAGGATGAGGGGGGAAAGGGTACACTCAGACATCATGGGTGGAACTGCAAATTAGCACAGCCACTCTGGAAAGTCCTATGGAGATTCCTCAAAAGACTAATGGAATCCCAAGGTGACCCAGCAATCCCACTCCTTGGTATTTACCCATCTCTAAAGTCAGTATACTAGAGTGACGCTGCTGCATCAGTGTGGATAACAGCATCACTCACAAGAGCCATGTTTTGGAAGTAGCCCAGGAACACATCAACAGGCGAATGGATTAAGAAAATATGGCATTATAGACACAGAAGAGAATTAGTAAGTCATGACAAAGAATGAAATTGTGGACTTTGCTGGTAAATGGATGTAATGGGAGATTGTCCTGCTAAGTGAAATAAGCCAGACTCAGAAAGTGAAAGGTTAAATGTCCTGCTCATATGCAGAAGATAGAGCAAAGCATGGGGGAACTATGGGGTGGGGGCTTTGATATCATAAAGATAGAGGGAAGGTGAATGGAGAAGAAGAAATAGACTGAGGGGGTAGGGAGGGGTGGAAGGGCAAGCAAGTGCAGAATGAAATGGATAAAATTATGCCATGAGCATGTATAAATACACCACAGTGGGTTCACCTTCATGCATATTGATAACGCATGAATACATAAATAAATACTAGTAGGTAGAGGAGGAAAAGTGGGGACGGAGGGCATAGTCACTGGGCACAGAATGGGAGGGAGTTAAATTCCATGTCTGTATGGCTATGTTAAAATGAACACCACTGCAATGTTGAACCCCAGTGCACTAATAAGAGCTTAAGAAAGTTAAGCATTTTGCACTGTCGGGTGGGTGGATTCAGGACTGCCTCATTCGTTTCATAGGCTTGGTGGGATGATGTAACGGGTCACAGGTATTAAATGTTCAGAATTCTACAGAGACATGTCAGCCCTCCATTACTGTTGGACATTCACAGTGTCACAGGGTCACTGTGAACGTGACATATTTCTCTAAAATTATCTGACAATATGAAGAATAAAACAAAATTCATGAAACGGTTTTCCCTTTTAAAAAAGGTAGCTCTTGTGGCTGGGCTTGTGACGCCGTGCTAGAGCACTTGTCTAATATGTGTAAGGCCTGGGTTGAATCCTGAGCACCACACAAAATAAATACATAAATAAAAGGTTTAAATATAAATCATTAAATTAAAAAAAGGTAGCTCCTTTTCTTCATGTGCATATTATTCTGTCAGAGAACAGGTTCCCCTCTGCAATTTTGCCTAATTGGATCCACTTTTCCTTCAGCCAGAATACTACTCATGCCCAGTTATTGGTCATTCTCCCCAAGATACACTCAGCAGTCTGTGGCCACCTGAGATTTAGGGTCAGAATCAACAGCTCCTGGTGTCACACACAAGTGCTCAGTCTATTGATACACCCAAGAATTAAGAGGGAAAGTGGCAATGATTTTGCTCCTGGTTATCATACATTCTACATGAAACACTGTTGCGTCCAATGTGGGGCTTACATTCATTAGACGGTTTTCATTTTAGCTGACAGAAGACCATGGGGACTGACAAAGATGTAGGTGCATCCTGAAGCATTCCTGGAATCAGTAGGTGGCTATTTATGGGCCCCCTGGATGGGCGTGTTGCTTGAACATGTGGAGCTGTTGGTCCCCGAGTCTCCTGGGTACTGAGAGTGCTCGACCAAGGATGAGGCAGAGCTTTGACGGACCCTTTATGTGGTAGATATGAAGACTCTCTCATCTCAGCCCCTAAATCCTGACAGCATGCAGCCCACTCCCACAGGTTAATCAGAAGGTAATGGAGGACTGGACCCTGGAGTCCAGTGACAGTCCACCTCATATCTGCTGCCTCTGAAGCAGGTTCCTGCCCTTTAGCCTGAGAGTCTTCAGTCCACTGTCCCTCTGTCTGCTTCCAGGCTACACTGTATCAATTACACTGTATCAGTCGGTTGCATGTAAAAATTCTACTTTGAAAACTCTTCAAATGCAAATAAATGAGAAAGAGTGGCTTTCTCAGGTCTCAGGGATTCATCAGTGGGATTATTTTGCAGCACTTGCCACGGCGTCCTGTCGTGAGATCATGTTGAGGTCACAGGGCTCATGTTCTCTGTATGAGTCCAAAATTGATCAATACAGTGAAACTTTAAACCACCAGTCACAATTTGTTTTTATAACAGTTAATTTGACCAAAAAAAAGTTAATGATTCTTTTGAACCATTACTTTTTTTTTTTTTTTTTTTTACTTTTGTTAAAGTAAGACTAGGTTTAAAGTCCAATCTCACTATCTCCCACAAGGCCCAATGGTGTGAACCTCAGCACAGCACAGAGAAATCATCATCATGACAGATGGCTACCTGTGGTTTGAAGGGTTACCTTTCCCCCGTGTTGGTTGGAGCTGTGATGGCCTAAAAGAAGCATGTACTAAATTTGTGATAAAGGACGAAGACACAGTAATGGTGTCATACCCTAAGTCAGGTAAGGAAACTAGAAAGGAACTGTCCATGAGAACGGCGAGGGCTGTGTTCTTCCCCTGCTCAGCAGATGGAGTTCATGGCCTCTACAGCCAGTGAGCCCTGCTTGGGGGAGGAAGGGGCAGTGCCCCAGGCCACTTCCACTCAGACTAGGACACAGGGACATAAGTGCTCAGCAGGGGTCAGCTAAGCTACTGCAGGAAGATACAGGAGTGAATCCTAATATCACCCAGGCATCTGTGTGGTGGCCTGGGAGGGGGGTGGCAGAGAATGACCAGTGAGCACTTAAGGGTGAAATACCAGCTCCATAGAAATGAAAGAGGGAGTGGGAGGCCATGGGGTGAGGAGGGGGATTTTAGAGCAGGAGGGTCAGCATGGACAAGGGCTGGGAATCAGACAGGAGCCTGAGAAATTCAAGGGACTGAAAGGACATGCATCATAAATCTATGTGGTGGGCCTGGGGGCAGGGGCATTGCAAACAGGGCGAGGATTGAGGCCAGTGTCCTTGGAAGGGGCACTGTGCTGGGAAGTCAAGGGAAAGGGGAACATATAAAACTGACCTCAGCAAACAGCCAAGAGGTGGAGCAACCTAAAATCCTTTCATAGATGAATGCATAACAAAATGTGGCGTGTTGATACAATGGGATACGATTCAGCCTTCACAAGGAATGTCTGACACCCTCTATAACACAGATCAATCTAGAGGGTCTTCTGCTAAATGCAGTATGTTGGGCACAACAGGACAAATGCTATAGGATTCCATTGGTGCAAAATACCTAGTGTATTCAAGTTCATAGAAACAAAAAGACAATGGTGGGTTCCAGGGGCTGAAATATGGGGTTTTTAAATAGGGAAATGTTGTTAAGGAGCATGGTTTTTCACCATGAAAGGTTTCTCAACATTGATTGAGCAAAATGAGGAATGTGCTTAACAATGTTAAGCACCACTCACAGCATGCTTAAAATGGGTATGAGGTAAAGTTTATGTTATGCATTTCATCATTATGTGTTTGTTCACAATCCAGGTTGATATGAGTGACTATCACTTTTCCTTCCTTATCTAGGATCCCACTGGGTGATTGAAATTCTCTGTCTGATTCACTCCAAAGGGGATACCAAGTGGATTCAATCTGTGCCCATCTGGGAACGCGCACCCTGGTTAGAGACAGATGTAGGCTATAAAATGTTAAATGAGAGAGAGGGCCCACGGCTCCTGGCCTCTCACCTCCCCTTCCATCTCATCCCCAAGACTTTATTCACTTCCAAGGCCAAGGTCAGTGCCTAATGTTTGATCAATGACTTTTTTCCCTTCCATGTGCCTAGATAATCCCTGCAGATCTTGCTGGGAGTCTGCTTATTGGTAAATTGGGTGAGAAATAACATTCTCAGATATGAGGTGTGGTTGACGTGGCCACAACAAGACCACACTGAGGGCCAGGATGTGGACCATTACACAGATTACCTTGCCAGATTCAGGAAAGTCACGGGCTAATGCCAGAATATTAGAAAACCACTCTCCTGTGCAAGCAGAATTTATAATCTACACCGGATTATCCCAGCCTTGCAGCTCTTTAAGACGTCAGCCTGTATTAATTCAATAAAAGCCTCCTGCCAGGTAGGTGGAAGCAGAGAGGTCAGTGGTGCCCACATGGGAGCAGAGCACGCACACATTGAAAAAGCATGGATCCAGGGGTGGCTCAGGAGTGGTGGCCAGCTGTGTCTCCATGGCAGCCCAGGGCACGCCACTGTGTCTTGTGATTCGCAGCCACTGCAGCCTCCCTCTGGCTGACAGATGATCAGCACAGACCAGGGATATCCCAGATGTGATGTGCCACAGACTCTCTTTAGAAACACACCTTTTAAAAGTGTTTGTTGACTTCTGAAATTTTTCATGGTTTTGTTTAAACAACACCAAGAAATCTGGAATACTAATCTCCACTCTTGGAAATGTCATAAAGTGTCTAACAGTGAGGCTGCCCCAACAGACCCACTTCCATGTCTCCTGTTGGGTTGCTTTAACCCCTGCCTGATTAAACTGGGGTCTAAGGAGACACAAGACCTCCAATAACAACACCAGGAAAGTTGGTGCAAATACAAAGTCAATTTCTGATGTTCAAGTACAAAATGGTGAGTGTGTGTGTTTGTGTGTGTGTTCACTAATCTTGAACACCAGCCTCTTCCTATGCACATATGTACACAGTTGGGAAACTATCACCCAGACCAGATTAGACTTTTCTACTATCCAGAAAGTCTTCCCACGCTCTTCCTACCAATCAGTGCCCCACACCTGAGGAAACCACTCCCTGCACTTCAGCTATACATTACTTTTGTTTATTCTTGAATTTGTATAAAGGCATTCATGCAATTTAGATGTGATATCTGTGAGATTCCTGGATGGTCTTGAGTGTGAGAATGACTGTGTGTTGCTATGAATCTGAATATACCAGAACTGATTAACCCATTCTGCTGTTAGTGATTGTTCTGGGAAAGCACACACACAGCCCTCCCCACTAACCACTTAAACCTTTCCAGCAGCTTCCCATGTGGAGTCGACTAATATCCCAGAAAGAAGAGACAAGGTCTTCCTCTTCTATTCCTGCACACGAATAGTAATAGGAATGTTAAAGTATTTCATTGATGAATGTTATACTTAATTCATTAAAGGAGCCCATTGATGTTTATTAGTAGAGCTTAAGTAATAACTGCCTGGATACAGTATGATCAAGGTGGGAAATGACCAATTGAGGCTGATTTTTCATTCCTCATGTTTCCTTAATTCAAGGTGATATATGTTATGAGAAGTCCCAAAGATGTTCTTGTGTCAGGTTATTATCATCGGTCTGTGACAAAACTGAGTAAGAACCCAGAGTCACTGGAACAATATTTTCAATGGTTCTTGGAAGGAAACGGTGAGTGTTCTGTGACAGATTTGCTTCCTCTAGTTTCCTGGCCTTTCTCCTACTTTTGTGAAATCCCTTTTGAATTCTCTTTCTGTATCCTTTCCACATATTAGGAAAACAGACCACCCTTGGCTTTGTGAGTGTGGCTTGTTTCAAATACTATGCTGTTCTCCAACCCACCCATTTTCCTGCAAATGACATAATTTAGTTCTTCTTGATGACTGAGTAAGACCCATCATGTGATGTGACATATTTATTTGTCTGTCCTTCAGTCAGGGGACACCCAGGCTGAAGTAGCTGCTGGGAGTTGGACTCCTACCAACATGGGTGTGCCTGTCGCTGTAGTGCGCTGACTTTCATTCCTTTGGGTAAATACCATGGAGCTCTGTGACCAGATCATATGGTGGCTCCATTCCTTGTCTTTTGAGGAAACTCCACACTGATTTCCATGTGGTTGTGCTAATTTCCAATCCCAACAGTGTGTAAGTGCTCCCTTTCTCTCCCATGCCTGCCAGCGTTTATTATTATTTATTTATTGTGTTCTTGATGATTGCCATTCTAACTGGAGTGAAGTTGTTAAAAATGTTGGAATTTTTTTTCATAAAATTTTTGGCCATTTTCTTTCTTCTTTTAGAAATGATTGTTCATTTGCCCACCTACTCATTGGATTATTTGGTTTTTGGTGTTAAGACTTTTGAGTTCTTTATATATTCTGAATGTTAATCCTCTTTCCTCTCTCCCCTGTCTCGATTCCTTTGCTGTTCAGAAGCTTCTTAACTTGATGCCAGTCAGCAATTCTCGGTTTTCCTTCCTGAGCATAGAAGTCTCTGGAGGAGGCCGAGCCTGCACCTGGATGTTGGAATGCACGTGCTGTGTTTATGTCCTTGTAGTGTTTATGGTCCAATCCTGTGTTTTTTCATCCACTTTGAGTTGAGTTCTGCAGGATTTCGCTTCATTCTTCTGCATGTAGCTATTTAGTTTTCTAAGCAGCAATCATTAGACTGGCTATGTTTCCTCAGTATTGGCTTCTGGTGTCTTTGTTAAGGGTCAGATGATGCCATTGTGTGGTTGCCTCTGTGTCTTCCATTCTCACCCATTGGTCTATGTGTCTGCTTTTTTTTTTTTAAGAGAGAGAGAGAGAGAGAGAGAGAGAGAGAATTTGTTAATATTTATTTTTTAATTTTTGGTGGACACAACATCTTTAATTTTTATTTTTATGTGGCGCTGAGGATCTAATCCAGTGACCTGAGCATGCCAGGCGAGCATGCTACCGCTTGAGCCACATCCCCAATCCCCTATGTGTCTGTTTTTATAGTAACAATTTTTGTTACTATTTCTTCTTAGTATGATTTGAGACTGGGAAGAATTTAAAAAGTGATTAACTTCAGCACTATTCGTGTTTGTGTGTGTGTGTGTGTGTGTGTGTGTTGGGGATTAGACCCAGGGCCTTGCCTACGCCAGTCAAGTGCTCTACCACTGAGCCACACACCTGCACTTCACCATAGTTCATACTGCTGAGAAAGGCTTTGAATTTTTGTTTGTCATTTAATTGGGGATTGTTTCTTCTATTTCTGTCTAGAATGTCTTTGGTGTTTGATGGGGATTTCATTGAATCTGTAGAATTCTTTGGGTAATATGGCATTTTTGATTCTGGTCATTTAAGAATATAGAAGGGCTTTTCACCTTCTAGTGTCTTCTTCAGTCCCTGGTTTGTCAAGGGTTCTGCATGAGGTCTTCCTCCTCTTTGGGAAGATTATGCTTAGGACTTTTGTGTTGTTGTTTGTTTGCTTGTTTTGGTACCAGCCAGGAATTGAAGTCAGGGTCGATCGACCACTGAGACATATCCCCCCATTTTCTGATATTTTATATAGAGACAGGGTCTTGCTGAGTTCCTTAGGGCCTCACTAAGTTGCTCAGGCTGATTTTGAACTTGCCAACCTCCTGCCTCAGGCTCCCAAGCTGCTGGATTTACAGGTGTGCACCATGCACCTGGCTACCTAGGTATTTTTTGAGACCATTGTGAATGAAAAGCATTCCTGATTTCTTCCTCAGCAGATTCATCATTGTTATGAAGAATAGTTCTGGATTTCAGTGTGGTGATTTTGTATCCTTCTACTCTGCGGAGTTGGTCATCGATTCTACAAGTGTTTGGGGAGAGCTTTTTTGGGTATTCAAAGCATGGTATCCCATCATCTGCAAACACTGATAATTTGGCTTCATTCTTTCCAACTTGTATTTTCTTTTCCTTTTCTTTTTTCCTTCTCTGGCTTTCTTTCTCTGACTAGAGTTTTAAGACGTTTATTGAATGGGAGATGTGACAGTGGACATCCTTGCCTTGTTCTGGATCCAGGAGCAAAGCTTCCAGTTTTTCCCAGGTTAGCATGATGTTGGCTTTGGGCTTGTCACAGATAGCCTTTAGGATGCTCAGCCAAGTTCTTCTCTCAAGGCAAAATCTATTGATGTGGTAAAATACATTTATGAGTTTGCATAAGGTGCACCCACCTTACATCCCCACAATGAAATCAGCATGTTGTGATGTATGACCTTACAGTGTTAATACAACATGTCTTGTGTTTAATCTTAATGTTGAAAAGGATTTTCTAATATTTCAATAAGGTTTTCTGTATCTGTGTTCATGAGGAATATTGGTTTGTTAATTTCTTACTTGATGTGTCTTTCTCTGGTTTGGGTATCAGTATGATACTGGCTTCATAGAATTAATTCAGGAATGTTTCCCTCTGTATTTCGTTACCTAATTTGAACAGCATTTATCAATTATACATGAATCAAGGTGTCAGGGTATGAAGAGTGACATGGACAGTCCAGCCTCTGTTTGGCAGTGTGTAACCTGCACCCCTGTGCCTACCCCGCAGTGGCCTATGGATCATGGTTCGAGCACATTCGTGGCTGGATGTCCATGAGAGACAGGGAGAATGTCCTGCTGCTGAGTTATGAAGAGCTGCAGAAGGTGAGCCCCCTCTCAGGGTCAGCACCTGGCAGCCCTGATTGCTACCCCTGATATCCCTGGTCCTCAGGGTCTCCACTCTACATTCCCTGTCACAGTGTCGCCTCCCAGAGGTCAAGAAAAGTAGTGAACTTTGATCTCCATTGCTCGCTCTGCTTCTGCCTGACCCTCTCCAAGCTCCAATCTATTTCTTCACATCTTCAATCTATTACATCTGGCAACATCTGAAGGGCCCTTCCACACCCAGGCAGAGGTCAATGGCTTATGATTGCACCTGTGGCTGCCAAGGTCTCTGCAGGCAGGACCTATGATGCTGACAGAAACCTCGTCATTAGAAGAAACTGGGCAGAAAGCATTGATCCCAGAGTTGTGTCCACCTTTCTGGCTTCTCCTCTTGACTGACAAAGTGACATGAATGTGAGATATCACTTTGTGTAGCTTTTCTGAGGGGTCAGGGGCTGGAGTAACAGGAAAGTCCTGCAGATGATGCTCAGCCCTGGTGGGTGGGTGCAGGGTACAGCTGGGAACAGCAATGACTTCCAGTGACCTGAGGCACAGGGTGGTGACTGTGGAGAACAGTAATCAATCATACATTTCAAATTAGCAAACGGAAAAAATTTTGAATGTTCCCAACTAAATATAGGATTTATTTCTGAGTTTGTACATGTGCCACATTCAAAGGTTAGGTCATCCTACATCAAATAGATCCCGATTCTAACTTTATTTTTCTGATGGTGTAGAAAAATGCCACACTGAACAGCACAAAGCTGCACAGTTCTGTGTGTGATTTTTAGAGGTCCAGACATAGCTGAAAGCTTTAAGATTTTTAGAAAATTTCTTCAGAACTGTTAAGCAATGTAAGAAAAAGTAAAAGACTGAAAAGACCTTTAGAGAACAGCTGGCCTGTGAGTGTGTCTTGGGGACAGAGAAGGTGCCACAGGCTCAGGCATCTGCTTACCCTGGAGAAAGGACCCTGCTCACCTTCCTGCAGCTGCTTCCTGTTCTGCTGGGTTCTCAGCATGAGGTCGGTTCTCACCAAGGACCTTGATGCCACCTCCAGCCACCTCAGCCTCAAGCTCCCACACGTCCCTGTGATTCTCCACTCAAACCACATGTTTTTTTAAATTATTGCCACAGTTGTGCGTCTTCTTGTTATATAGTGACTGGGGATCATGAAAAAAAAACCACTACTAATAAAGGCTGATTGTGCCACCAGGAAGGTCTAGGATTCCAAGAAATCCTCCTTATAAAGATCTACTTCCTTGGTGTGATCTCCCAGGAATACACATCAATAATCATGGGTCAATTTTAGGGAGACATTTTAAAGCCCGATGGTTATTCAATGTCAGTTAAGGATTAGTCTTTGGGGGATTTTTCTCCTTGCTCATGTTGCAAGGACATTCTTTAGACGTCCGACACCTGCCTTTGGGGTGTCCTGAGCTCAGCCTCCCTGGGAAGCCCCTGTTGATCATCACGTCACCACATCCTTCACTCCCTCTGCTGGCCCCTTGCTCTTTCTCCCTCCATCCAGCACCCACTTCAGTCTTTTCCCATTTTGAGATGTCGTCCTCTCCTCTTCCTCCCCCACACCCCTCCTAACACTTCTGTTCCCATTTCCCACCTCTGCTGTCCTTCCCGTTCAGAGCATCACTCTTGATTGTTCACATGTAGGACCCAAGAAGCATCATAGAGAAGATCTGTCAGTTCCTGGGAAAGAAGTTGAATCCAGAAGAACTGGACTCAGTCCTCAAGAACAGCTCCTTCCAAGTCATGAATCAAAACAAGATGTCCAACTTTGAAATACTGTCTGAAACTTTCACTACTAAGAATTTCAAAATTACTAGAAAAGGTAAAATGCTGTGGTATCACAATGTATGAGAACACTTGGAGGGCATTCTGTGTTCACCGCCTGACACTAAAGGTGAAGGAGTTGGACCTTTTCAACTTTAACCATTCATGGCCCAGAAAGCCTCTCGTGCCCTTGTGGGAAAGCTGTGTTCATGGGACTGGGATGGGCTGCAGGTACCTGGAGAAGGTTGACCCCATCTTGGGGAGGAGGGGGGGGGGTTCTGGAGATGGTGGTGTCTGGGCCACTCCACTGGTGTTTGAGCACTGCCCTAAAGAGAGAGATACACAAAGAAAGACCAAATTGGAGAAAGTGGGGTGTGGGTCATTTGCTCTGAGACATTGTAAGGCCTCTTTTCTATGAGGAAAGATGAATCATATCTACATGTTTGGAATCAGGCCTATTGAAAATATCTGCTCCGAGTAGAACCTGTTTTCCCCAAGTTTACGTGCACCTGGAATGGTAAACCATGGAATCAATATACCAGATCCTTCAAAGGATATTCAATAGGTCAGGATTCCTGCCACAGAGTGCCTGGAGCACAGAGCCATAAAACAGAGGACTGGGCTGGGGAGGTAGGTGAGAGCCCAGGCCTAGCAGAAGAAATCAATAAAGACTGTTCTACTAATGAAGATAACTATGAAAGTGGGAGTAAGAATGAGTGGTTATAGGAGAGCCATTGCCTATTAGAAATTCTGCTACTTGATATTCATTTGGGTGCCGGGTTTCTGTTCTCACAACTAAAAGGCTCAGGGGTCACTCCAGTTGAACTGGGCTGACTGAGCTGCACAAAATAACCACACAAGAGTCACAAATACCTTTTTCATTGGGGTCGCTGTGATGGCTCCTCTGACCCTAAAGGTCCACAGGAAGAGAGAGAGCGAGAGCACACACTCTTATTGAGGAGAAGCTATTCAAATGAGGCCAGGGGTCAGGTTTCAGGGAGCTGAGTCTATCTTCATGGATGTCCACTGTCAGCAGGTTGACTGACACCTGGGTAGGCCACACCCAAGGGCACAGTAAGAGAAGGGGACACACACAAGGCACTTCCATGGAAGATTCTATCCTAAACAGGGCAAGGGGTTATATCACAAAGGAACAGGTGAGCGTAACTTCACCCATGGGGCTGTAGCAAGACACACCCATGCACCAGACACTGACCCTCGAACCCAAGAAGGATGGGGAAAGCTCTGCCACATTTATGTGACTGAGCGCCTCAGCACCCAGCCGGGGAGTGTGACTCAATACGTGCAAGGTTGGTCTCCCACATTTGGGTTAATTGTTTATAGGAGTATATTAGTTTAGATGTCATTAAATATTTCATTAATTATTTAGTTTGGGCTGGTAGGTCAAAATTAATTTATGTTATATATAATACTGTGACCACATAAGTAAAGGGTATGACTTACATCCATATCTTTAGCTTCCCATCCACCCACCACTCAGTAACCCCTCCAAGGCTTTTAAAAAAAAATCCTTTTCTGGAAAACAAGGTATTATGCTAGTATATTACTCTTTATTTATCCTTTCAAACATTTGTTATTGAGCATATACTATGCCATTCCATTAAGTACTGATTCTTAGGTAATTTATAAAAATGATTTCATATCCTGATATCTCAGAAATGCATACCTTATGCACATTCAGAAAGGAAGTACAGAGCTGGGGTGGTGGCTCAGAGGGAGCGAGCTTGTCTAGCATGCCTGAGGCACTGGGTTCCTTCCTCAGCACCACATAAAAATAAAATAAAGATATCGTGTCCCCCTATAACTAAAAAAATAAATTATTTAAAAAAGGAAGTACACAGAACGTATCATGTTTGATCATTGCTATGAACGAGGATGGAGATGTAGGGTTCTGAGCTGAGAGCCCCACTGAGTCACTGCACTGGAGTAAACATTTGAGTGAGGCCAGTGGACAGAGGTGAAGGTGTCTGCTAGGACAGCACTCTGGGGTCAGGAGCAGGAAAGGTAAACACCCTGAGGAGGGGGCAGCCTGGCAAGTCTGAAGCTGAATCAGAAGACTGTGTCATGGAGCCGAGAGAGCAAATGGGCAGTCCCAGGGATGGAGTCCAACAAGGACCCTACACCTAGAGCCTCAAAGCACCAGGGAACTTGGCTGAAGGAGAGTGGACGTCCTGGGAGACTCTGACCCCAAGGGACTGGAGCCACTGGATCTGGCAAGGGGTCAACATGGGTTCCTTGTGCAGAAGGAATGATCACAGGGATTGGCCAAAGCAGAGAGACTAGGTGTGACCTGCTCTCATCACCCAGGTCAGAAATTTTGTCAGCTTGGGCCAAAGTGCTCGAAAAACAAGTGGTCAGACTTAGTTCCAGTCCAGATGTTCTGATTTATAGTCAGGATTGCTGCTTGTGGATTCTGTGCAGGATGGTTTGGGAGAGAAGGGCAGTCAGGACACACTTTCCAGACAGGTAGAAGGGGAAATGCGCATGGTGGCCAGGGGAGAAGGCCTCACCAATGACCCAGGGGTCACTCTGCTGTCTTGACAGAGCAAGGAGGAGGTCTCCATCTTAAGACCTATCCCTAGATCTGATCTGTGTCTACTTCATGTTTTCTAGGCATCTCTGGGGACTGGAAGAATCACTTCACAGTGGCCCAAGCTGAAGCCTTTGATAAAGTTTACCAGGAGAAGATGGTGGGTTTCCCCAAAGAGCTGTTCCCATGGGAGTAATGTCCTCCCCAAATTCCAGATTTTATATGGATACTGACATTGGTTTCCTGTCCTGGGACATGTATACATCTTGATGGTTCTTAAGATAAAACACATTTCTAAAAGGAAGGGGGAAGGAAGGTTAGGTAACATAAAGAGCCAGTGAAATATAAAATGATAGATGAGGAAAAGGAGTCTAGTCCTATAGAGAAAGGACAATGGGAGAGGGAGGGTCCTGGTGGGGAAAGTGGGATCATGCACTAAAATGGATTCCCATGCACCAAGGAGTTTTTCCAAATGAACCCAACATATGTATACGTACAAAGCTGTGACAAAAATTTAAAAATGTGCTTCTTCATTCTGGAGTCTTGAATCATATATTCTTCTTTCTCTGATCACTTGCTTGTAAAAATTACTGGGACTTCAATATTCACTTCATCACATCCTAGCCCTTAAAATGGTCTTTGTAGTATTTCAAACACACAGATGCTTACAAACATAATATGAATATTACCCACCATGGTGTCTACTTTTAAATGAAGAAATACAATACAGGAGTAGTTAAGGTTCCTTTTCTGTTACGTGTATCACCAGCATTTATGATGATGATGATGTAGAGGAGTATAATTTCCAACCTACATTTGTTTTAATTCCTGGTGTGTGTTACAGCATCAATCAAAAGTGGTATGAATAAAACTTTTAATACTTACATAAATGGTGAATGGTGCAATATATTCATAGACTCTCATTTCTACTCAGCATTTAAGAGATGGTTTTATGTGAGCTGACATGTATAGAGTCGTTCCAAATTAAATTGAGCCTTGGGACACAGTTGAGTCACCTGTTCTGCTGTAAATGACTCTGGGTTTGTCCCTCACCAATTCTCCCACATTTAAAGCAGTGTCTGGAAGCATAAGGAAAACAAAGGTAGGAGGTGTCCTAGGATGTACATTTAGTATTGAACTGTTCTGACGTTTAGTCTGACTGGTAACTGATAGGCCTTTTATGGGTGATACCAAAATTTCTCCAATAATCTTGTAATTAATGTAATATTTAAATAAACTTTTTTGCCACTGCCTGCTTTGAGTTTGGTGTGAAATTCACTAATTTGGAGGACATGCAGCTGAGCTATATAGTATTGGTCTCCCATTTCGAGGTGTTGAAGACCTTGGAATTTGAACAGAAACTTTTTAACTGCTAGAAAAAGGCATGGGGTCATGTCTCTGACATATAGTGGCAGGTATCGACTTCCTCAATAATACACCTAAAATATAGAAAATAGAACAAAGGTTAACAGAAAGATACCAAATTAAAAGATTCCGCACAGCAATGGAAGCAAGTATGTGAAGTAAGATACTAAAGAATGGGAGATCATTGCCAGCTACTCTTCTGACAGAATGTAATAAGAACTCAAAAAAAAAAAAAAAAACTTAACACCAAAAGCAGAATTATTTTTTAAATACATGACTGTGGAATGCATTACAATTCTTATAATCAATTAATTATTTTAAAAAACCACGATTATGCCAATCAATACATGGGCAAATAACATTTTCCACTAGAAGAAATACAGATGGCCCACAAATATATGAAACATTATTCAATATTCTTATCAATCAATGTAATGCAAATAAAAACCAATAAGAATTTATCTTCACATAGAATGTTAAGTATCAATAATAATAATAAATTCTGGTGAAGGCATGGGAGAAGGGAAACTTAGGTACTGTTGGTGCAATTAGAAGTTAGCACAACCAGTATGAGGATAGGAATGGAGATTCTTCAAACACTAGGAAGGGTACCACCACATTCCCCAGCTCTATCTGTGGTATTATTCAAAAGAATTCCAGTCATCATACTATACAACAGTAAATGCACACCCAAGTTTATACCAGTGAGATTTACAATAAGTAAGTTAAGGGAGTCATTTTGTCAACTGATGAGTGCATAATAAATGTGGTATACATTCATCAGGAAGCTTTGTTCAGCCATAAAGAGGAACAAACTTATGCCATTTGCAGGAAAATGGATAAAAATGGAAAACATTTTTTAAGTATAGTAAGACAGACTTAGAAAGACAATGGTCATATATTTCATAACATATGTAGAAGGTTGAAGGAAAAAAGAAAATAGCAGAGACAGTACAAAGGTAAATGAAAGAGACAGGAGAGTCTTGGAAATGAATCACGGAAGGGAGGAGTGGGTGGAAGGGGAAAGCTTGGTCCAGCAGTGAAGCAAACCTCATTACGCTCTGCGCATGCGTGAATACATCACCACAAGCCCAAGTATTGTGTGCAATCCTAATGCACAATACAGCCCTCTGTGTGGGCTGCTTGGATAACTCTTTCCAATGCCTTTATGTTCGCAATGTGGGAAGGTTTTTCCAATTGCTCATGGAAATACTTAAACAAATACACATATTTTGTTTCTAGTATGTTTAGTTTGATAGAAATCCCTGTGATGCTGTTTTAATGAAACAGAATTTGATTGTCATTTCTGCCGCTGAGTAATATCATAATTTTAATTACTAATTTTTCAGATGCTCTCTCTGTGGTCATCTCTCTGGGTTCAACGGTTAGCTTCTATATTTACTGTTTAGTGAACACTGCTTTGTGCCCTACTTTCCTTTACATAAAAGCAATTACAATAGAAACTTACTCATAAATTGGTTGTACTATACATGATATAATGTAGCAAGCAATAAAACAATATCTAGCACATACTGAGTGCTAAGAAAATGGTTTATTTAGCATTGTTGGCAATCTTGCTCCTATTACTACAACCAATAACAATAAAATGAACATTGTACAATGATTCTTCTATTAAAAAACAAAACCCCCAAACTTCATATGGCATGCAAATGTATGAACCCACTTTATTGATGGAGAAACTTTGCCTTAAAAGTTAACCAACCATTCTAAGTTCTTCCTGCTGGTAAATATGTGTTGGGGATCAAAATTTCATGTCATCTTATTCTGGCATGAGCTAAGTCTTATGACATTGTAGTTGTGTGGTCAGAATTTACTGATTTTGTTAACCAACTATACTCTTTGTGGGTCTTGGTATCTATCCAGGTAAAACTGTATTTTATTTATGGAGAGTGAACAGTGTTGATGCCTAGTGGATTCCTCCAGAACAATTACTGAGATTTATATTGTGTATAATTTTGTCTGGACCCTTTATACTGAATGGACAGCTTGGCTGGGTATAGAGTTGTTGGTGCAGAGGTAGGGTTGGCTCAGTGATAGAGCACTCATGGAGCATGTGTGAGGCCCTGGGCTTAATCCTCAGCACCACATAAAAATCAATAAATAAAATAAAGATAAATGTTAAAAAATTATTAGTGCACACACTTATATGAATAGTTTCATAGCATTTCCCTCATATTTTTCTGCCAATGAATGTTGTTGTGACATATTCGATAATCTTATAAATTGGTAGCTAAATGTCTGTTAAGTGTTGAATGGAAAAATAGAGTGTGACACATATAAGTAATGCAATCTGGTCAGTCTAAGAAAGGCATGCAATGCAATTTCTTATGGCAGCATGGATGGACATGCAGTACATTATAAGTGACATCAATCAGTCACAGAAAAACCCATACTACACTTGTAATGGCATATAGAAAAGATGACATCGGAACAGCAGAGTGGTGCTTAACAGACACAGGGATGGTAAGGAGCAGAGGACAAGGGAGTTTGGTTAATGGGTACGGTTTTACAGGTAGACTGGAGAAATATGTCCTGGTGTTCCATGGCACAGTGTGCCATACGGTCAACAATAATGCATCATATGTGTCAAATTAGTTAGAAGTTAGAAGTAAGGGTTATTTATAACTTTGTCCTTTGGGAAAGCTTAGAGTTATCAGGTGCTTCAAGTTACATACTTTTACTCTATGGATATATCAGTATAAGATCTTTTTTTTTTACTTTTTTCATACATGACAATAGTGGAATGCATTATCTTTGTTATCTTATGAATTTTCTCTTGTTGAGAAACTTTGGGTTCTTTTTTAGAAATTGCAATTATTTCTATGTCTGTCTGCTATATATAATCACTTTCTAAAAGGGTGTTTATTTTTAAACATAGTTTTCTTTTCTTCTTGCATCACTATGTTTATATTCCTCCTTAAATTTGATGATTGTGAATATGGTGGCAGTCCTTTGAATCACATCTTCATTTATGATGAATTTTAGTGCTTTTACCTGTTTCTAACTTTAGTTCTATAGGTTTCTGCATAATATCCTTCGGTTGAAAGGGTCAGAGTTTGAGGTAATTGGGGTAATACTTGCCTTTGTTCTCAACAGTGAGGGGAACTTATTCAGATTGTGGATATGTAAATCCAGAGAGAGGGGAAGAGGGAATGGAGAGAGAGGATGGAGGGAGGTAGGGAGGGAGGAGAGGGGCTAGAGATGGGAGAGAGGGGGACATGGTGGGAGGGAGGGAGAGAGAGAGAGAGAGAGAGAGAATATGAATATAGCTATGATAATTCAGGAATTCAAGGATCATTCTTTTTAGTCAACCGAAAGTACTGACCTATCAACATCATGAAGGAAAGGGTTTGCTGCTTGTTTAATTTTACCAAAAATAAATGCCATGGAAGAAACAGCAGCCAAATTGTATAAAGCAAGACATTCTCCATGGTGCTACCTCTTAGTTCTCCATATTCAGAGCCTGGATATAGTGAGTGGCTGTAAGAGGAGCCTGAATTAACAATGAAAACTGCCATCAGGCCTCTGATCACATCCTGGACCACACAGATACAAGACAAAGGAAAAAGCTACACAAAGCCCAGATAATCAGCACATTAGAAAGTTCTTAAAGAAGGAAACTCATCACTACTTGAAAACACAACAGTCACTGGAATAAATTCATTTACTTCACTCTCAAAAAGGCCCAGAATTTGAGGCCAAGCTCTTGGGGAATGAGAAGGATTGGTGTTCTTCAGCTAGGAAGCCAAGGAAGATGGGAGGCTCTCACCACAAAGCCATGAGAGGGAGCCCAGGTGCTGAAGGAAGAGAGAGAGAGGGAAGCAGGACTGGGCTGGGAGTGGGCAGAAGGCACCATAACGGCAGACCTGTAGGTGGCGCTCCCGAGGCCTGGTTGGCCCATTGTCTTACTTCACTTTATTTTGCTGTATTTATTTTGCTGTATTCAGGATGAGATAACTTGGGTACATTGAGGTCAAATTATCCTTTTATTTCAGGTCCATTTACATATGTTTTAAAAGTTCTAAACATAGCACTTGTTTTTTTATGCTGTAAAAACCACTGGGAATGAAAATAAATCTACGTTGGAAATTTCACTCTTCCAGATCATCATCATAATAAATTCAGGAGACCCAAGTAATGGAAAGGAACCTCAACTGGTTCTACGATTTATTTCTTGTTTTAAAAATGAGACACAATGGTGGGATATTCATTTTATCTTTGCAGGCCTCTATGTGTTTGAAATATTAGTTAGATTATTTAAAAGCTAGGATGTGGTGAAGTGAATAGGGAAATTCTAGTAGTTTTCAACAGGCAAGTGATTAGAGAAGAAAAACATATAATTCAAGTAAGCAGAATGGCAAATTGGTTTTTTTATTTTTTGACACAGCTGTTATTGTTATATACATAGTGTTGAGATCTTCCGTAAAAAGTCATCCATGCAATCAATTTTAGATCACAATCCTTCTTTCTCTGCTGTGCGCCCCCCTTACCCATTCTCCTTCCTCTGACTGACTAGACTTCCTTTTACTCATTTATTATTTTACATTTCATTGGTTCTTTATGTTATCATATCTTTTCCTTCCTTTTCTCATAGAAATGGTTTTTATATTAAGAACCTCCCAATCCTGTAAATATCCCAAGACAGGAAACAATGTCAGTATCCATAAAAGCTCCAGAATTTTTGGACATTACTCCCATGGGAACAGCTCTTTGGGGAAACCCGCCATCTTCTCCTGGTATAATTTATCCAAGGCTTCAGCTTGGGCCACTGTGAGGTGATTCTTCCAGTCCCCAGAGATGCCTGGAAAAGATGAAGTAGACGCAGATCAGATCTAGGGAGAGGTCTTAAGACGGCGACCTCCTCCCTGCTCTGTCGACAGCAGAGTGACCCCTGGGTCACTGGTGAGGCCTTCTCCTGCCTGGCCACCATGCGCATTTCCCCTTCTACCTGTCTGGAAAGTGTGTCCTGACTTCCCTCTATTTTCAAAGCAATCTGTACAGAATCCATACTCAGTGAGGCTGGGTGTAAATCAGAAGATCTGGACTATAACCAAGTCTGACCACTTGTTTTTGAGCACTTTGGTCGAAACCAACAAAATTTCTGACCTGGTGATCAGAGCAGGTCACAACTCATCTTTGTGCGTTAACTTTTCTCTGTGAGAAGTTCTTCTGCACATGGCACCATGTGGATCCATTGGCAGAGCCAGTGGCTCCAGTCACTTCTGGCTCAGAGTCTCCCCAGATTTCCAGTCTCCTTCAGCCAAGTTCCCTGGTGATGTTGAGGCTCTAGGTGTAGGGTCCTTGTTGATTCAGACTCCATCCTGTGACTGCCCATTGGCTCTCTCGGCTCCATGGCACAGTCTTCTGATTCAGCCTCAAGCTTGCCAGGCTGCCCCCTCCTCAGAGTGTTTACCTTTCCTGCTCCTGACCCAGAGTGCTGTCCTAGCAGACACATGATGTCATGTCCGTTAGCCTAATTCAACTGTTGACTCCAGTGCAGTGACTCAGTGGGGCTCTCAGTTCTAACCATACAAATCCATCCTTGCTGACTTCACAGCAATGACCAAAATGATATGTTCTATGTATTTCCTTTTGAATGTTCATATGGTATGCATTTCTCAAATATTAGGACACCAAAAAATTTATAGACTATGTAAGATTTAATTCTTCAAGGAATGACATAGTAAATGTTTAAGAAATAATTTTTGAAATGATTAAAAGGACCATGGAATTTGATAGATATCATTATCCAAAGTATGTGTATGAAGACACAAATTGGTGTGAACATACTTTATATACAACCAGAGATATGAAAACTTGTGCTGTAAATGTGTAAAAAGAATTGTAATGCATTCTGCTGTCATTTATTTAAAACAAAAAGAATGAGTAATATACTAGCATTATACCCTGTTTTACAGAACAGAGTTTAAACAATGCCCTGTCAGGGTTACCCTGTGGGAAAGTGGTGGGGGTCAAATGGAAGCTAAAGTTACGGGCATAAGTCAGACCCTTTCCTTATCTGATTATAGTGCCATTTTATGTATCATACGAATTCATTTTCACATACCAGACCAATCAAATTAATTAATAGAAAATACAACAATATCTGGTGTATATAAATGTAAACATTATACTCATATGAATATAAACAGGAATGTCTAATATGTAATTGTTATCCTATAACCACTGATTCTTATGCCCATGTTCATTGATATCTTCGTCATTAGAACAAGCTTTCTTGACTTCTTCTGCCAGGCATGGGCTCTCCCCATGAGGTACACCCCTAGCTCACTCCTCTGTTTTATGGCTCTGTGCTCCAGCCTCACTCAGTGGCAAGAATCCTGATCTTTTGAATATCTTGTGAAGCATTTAGTCTAAATACTCCATGGATTGCCATTTCAGATACATGTGAACTGGGGAAATTTTGGAAAAACTGGTTCTGTGAGTACATGCAGTAGACATTTTCAATAGACATGAAAGTGAAGGTGTAGATATAATTCATCTTTCTTCACAGGAAGGAGGCGTTACAATGTCTCATCACAAATGACCCAGTCCCTACTTCACCTATTGGCTCATCCTCTATGTATCTCTTCTTGAGGGCAGTTCTCGATGGTAGTCACTAGTGGTGTGGCACAGACATGACCATCTCCAAGATGCACTCTCCTCCCCTGGAGGAATCAGCTGTCTCCAGGGACTGCAGCCCATCCCAGAACCGTGGAGACATTCTTCCATAAGGCACATGAGAGGTTTTCTTGGTTATGAATCACTCAAGTCAATATGTTCAAACACCCTAACTCTAAGGGTCCGGTGGTAAACACAAGAATTCCCTCCAAGTATTCTCACACATTCTGAAACCAGAGCTTTTACCTTTTCTTGTAATTTTGAAATCCTTATCAACACGAGTTTCAGGCAACGTCTCTAAATTGGACATCTTGTTTTCTTTCATGACATGGAAGGAGCTATTCTTGAGGACTGAGTCCAGTTCTTCTGGATTTAACTTCTTTCCCAGGAATTGACAGATCTTCTCTATGGTGCTTCTTGGGTCCTACAATGTGAACAACAAAGAGCGAGTCTATGAGAGGGCAACACAGGGGATTCGGGAGGATTAGAATGAAGGTGTTAGGAGGGCTGGGGGACGGGGGGAGGGGAGAGGAATGACATCAGGATGAGAGGAGATTGCTATGGGTGTCAGAAGGAGGGAGAAACAGAAAGGGTTTTTTCTTACATTGCTTAACAACTCAGAAAAAATTTCTAGATATTTTAAATTACATTAATTTATTATGTAATTTAAAGGTTTGAATTACATTTGGTGCTCTTAAACTCACATCCAGAAGTGGACATCTATGTGCAAGTCAGTGTGCCATTCCTCTACGATAACAGAAAAATAAAGTTAGAATGAGTTTCTATTCAATGTGTGACGATCCAATCTGTAACGTATCACATCTACAAACTCAGACATAAATCATTGATTTAGTTGAAAACACTCAAAATCCTCTTCACTTGCTATTTTGAAATGCATTATTGATTATCACTGTTTATAGTGGCCACGCTGTGCTACAGGTCATTAGAAGTCATTTCTGTTACCCAGCTGTACCCGGCACCCAGCCCAGCAGTGCCGAGCTTCATCTGTAAGCCCTTGGGATGACTCCAGCCCCTGACCTCTCACAAGAGTTACACAAAGTGACAGCTCTCCTTCATCTCACCTGGCCAGTCAAGGGGAGAAGCCAGACAGGTGGACACAACTCTGGGATTAATGTTCTACCCAGTCCCTTCTGATGACGAGGTCTCTATGAACATCATAGGTCCTGCACACAGAAACCTTGGCAGCCATAGGTGCTAGCATAAGCCGTTGCCCTCTGCCTGGGTGTGGGGAAGGGCCCTTTAGATGTTGTCAGATGGAAAACTTTGAAGACATGAAAGAAGAGCTTGCATTTGGGGGCAGATCAATGAAGAAATGGCAATGGAGACCAAGGGCTCATCTCCTCTTAGTGACCCTTAAGAGGCTACGATTTACAGAAAGTTGGGGAGCAGATACTGAGGACCACGGACATTACAGGGAGCAAGGATGGTCAAGAGCTGGCGGGCGCTGCATCTGACAGGTGCTCACCTTCTGCAGCTCTTCATAACTCAGCAGCAGGACGTTCTCCCTGTCTCTCATGGACATCCAGCCACGAATGTGCTCAAACCATGATCCATAGGGCACTGTGGGGCAGGCACAGGGGTGCAGGTTACACACTGCTGAAACAGGGCTGTGCCATCCGTGTCACTCTAACACCCTGACAGCTTGACTCATGTATAATTGACAAATACTCCTCAAACAAGGTGATGAAATAGAGACGGGAACATTTCTGAATTCATTCTATGAAAGCAGTAGCGTATTTACCCAAGACAGACAAGATATCATGTAAGTAAACAACAGCCCAATATTCCTATGAACACAGATACAAAAACCTTATTAAAATGTTAGCACATTCTATTAAGATTATACACAGGGCATGGTGTGTTGACACTTTAGGATTATACTTTAAGACACGTTGATTTCATCCCAGGGATGTAAGCCTGGTTCACCATATGCAAATTCATAAATGTATTTCACCACATCAGTAGATTTTACCTTGAGAGAAGAACATGGCTGAGCATCCTAAAGGTTACATGTGACAAACCCAAAGCCAACATCATGCTAACCTGGGAAAACTGGAAGCATTTCTCCTAAAACCAGGAACAAGGCAAGGATGTGCACTCTCACCACTCATTAAACAGAAGTTTGGGAACTCTAATCAGACAAGTCAGGCAAGAGAAGGGGATCAAGATAATACAAATTAGAAAGAAGGAAGCCAAAATATCAGTGTTTGCAGATGATGGATGCAATGTTTGAAGACCCCTAAAGCTACCCCAAAACCCTTGTAGAACTGATACCACATTCAGCAGAGTAGGAGGATACAAGATCATCATAGAAAAAAATCCATAATAATAATGAATCTGCTGAGGAAGAAACCAAAAATACAATTCCACTCACAATGGTCTCAAAAAACACTTAGGTAGCCAGGTGTGGTGGGGCACACCTGTAATCCCAGGCGCTAGGGAGGCTGAGGCAGGAGGATGGCAAGTTCAAATCAGCCTGTGCAACTTAGCAAAGTTAAGGACCTCAGCGAGACTACCTTATTTATATATAAAATATAAAAATGGAAATTGCTCAGTAATTATTTGGTTTGAGATCAATACCTGGTACCAATTCAAAGAAACAGAAAAACAATAACAACAACAACAAACAAACCAACCCTTGGCATACTACTCCACCCAAAGAGCAGATACACCTCTTAGAATGAAAATTATAGAACACTGAAGAAAGAAATTGAAGAAGACACTAGAATGTGAAAACCCCTTCCATGTTCATGGATAACCAGAATTTAAACAATGCCACATTTCCAAAAGAAATCTACAAATTCAGTGCAATCTCCGTCAAATACCAATGAGATTCTTCACAGAAATAGAAGAAATAGTCCCACAATTTTCATGAAAAACAAAAATGCAAAGCCATTATCAGCAATAAAAATAATGATCAAGGGCCGAGAATGATGCTCAGTGGTAAAGCACTTGACTGGTGTTGCAAAGCACTGGGTCTAATCCCAACACACACACACACACAATGAACAGTGCTGAATGTATCACATTTTAAATTCTTCACGGTCTCAAATCATACGAAAGTGGTGCAATAACAAAAAAATTGTGCTGTATAAAACAGACATAAAGATCAATTTATTAGAATAGAAAACACAGAGAGAGACAAATCACCCAGATACAATCATCTGATTCATAACAAAGACACCAAAAGCTAATATTGGAGAGAACACAGTCTGTTAAATAAATGGTACTAAGAAAACATGTAGAAGAATGAAGCTAAATGCTGCAACAAATTCCACTCAAAGTGGATCAGCAAATAGGAATTTGACCCTAAACCCCTTAAGTACTAGTAGAAAACAATGGTTACACCACAACATACAGATGCAGGCACAACTTCGTCCACAAGACTCCTCGTGTTCAGGAAACAAAACCAAGAATTGATAAAGGAATGTCATCCATCTAAAAAGCTTTTTTACAGCAATGGTAAGGAGACAAGAGAGGGTTGAAAAATGGGGAGAAAATCTTTGTCAGCTACTCTTCTGACAGAGGATTAATATCCAGAATGTATGAAGAACTCAAAAATATTAACACCAAAACCCAAATAACCGAATCAATAGATGGGTAAATGAACAATCATTTCTCAAAAGGAAAAATATGATGGCCAACAATTTAATGAAAATAAAAGTCAACATTTTTAATAACTAGAGAAAAGCAAATCCAAGCTACACTGAGATTGCATCTCACTCCAGTCAGAACGGCAAATGTCAAGAACACAAATAATGATACATGCGACAAGGATATGAATGAAAAGAAATGCTTACCCACCACAGAGATTGGAGATGAGTACAACCACCATGGAAATCAGTTAAGCACCTCTGAAAAGACTAGGAGTGGGACCACCATATGCCCCGGTCACAGGGCTCCTTGGTTTTCATCCAAAAGAATTAAAGTCAGCCACTATAGCAATATGTGACAACCATGTTGATGCCAGTTCAATTCACAGCAGCTAAGTTACGGAGCCAGCCTAGGTGTCCACTGACTGAGGAAAGGGTAAAGAGAATGTGGCACATACATGTGACAGAGTTTTCCTCAGTCATAAGGAAGAACTGAATTATGTCATTCACAGGAAAATGGATGGAACTGGAGACCAGCATGCTCATTGAAGGAAGCCAGGCTCACAGAGTCAAGGGTTGTCTGCTTTCTCTCATACATGGGATGTACACAGAAAAAGAACACAAAAGTCATGCCACACAATTAGGAGAGCAGTGTGGATGCAGATCTGTAGGTCACAGAGACTCACCGTGGCCTTGGAGGAACCACTGAAAATATTGATCCAGTGACTCTGGTTTCTTAGTAAGTTTTTTCATGGACCAATGATAGTAACTTGACACGAGGACATATTTGGGATTTCTCATGATATATATCACCTTAAGTGAAGGAAAATGAGAGAAAGAAAAAAACCAGTAATAATCAGTCCTTTCCCACCTTGATTTTCATCTTTTCCCAGGAAGTTCTTACTTAACATCTGCTGAACATCAAGGGATTCATTTAATTAATTATTTATAGCATTCATTCATCAAATACACATTTTAGTTTCCCATTATAGGAATAGAAGAGGAAGACCTTGCCTCTTCATTCTAGGACATTAGGTTACCCAACATGGGAGCCTTCAGGAAAGTTCTAGATGGTGTTGGTGAGGCACTTGTGTGCTTTGCCATAATGATCACTAACAGCAGAATGAATTGATCAGTGATGGTACATTCACCTTCATAGCAACACACAGTCATTCTCACACTCAAGCCATGGAGGAGGCTCACAGATAGGACATCCATGCAGCACGAATTCCTTATTCAAAATACAGATATACACCAAAGCAATCTGTAGCTGAAGTGCAGGGGGAGTTTCCCTCAGGTGGTGGGCACTGATGGGTACAAGGAGCCTGGGGGACTTTCTGGACAGCAGGAATGTTCTAGTCTGGTCTGGGGATAGTTGCCTAACTGTGTACATATGTACATATTAAGAGGCTGGTGTTTATTAGCCAGTCACTTCACTACCAAATTTAGACTGGGCTAATCTGTGCAATGGCTCACATTCTTGCACCTTAGTGTGGTCTAGTTGTGGCTACATCAACCTAAACTCGTATCTGAGACTATCAGGTCTCGCCCAACCTACCCAGGGAGCACATACCCCAGCAAGATCTGCAGGCGTTATCTGGGCACATGGAAGGGAAAAAGGCACTGATCAAACATTAGGCACTGACCTTGGCCTTGGAAATGAAAAAAGACTTAGGGAAGAGATGGAAGGGGAGGTGAGAGGCCAGGAGCCGTGGGCCCTCTCTCTCCTTTAACAATTTGTTTCCTGAATCTATCTCTAACCAGGGTGCACGATCCCAGATGGACGCAGATCGAATCCACGTGGTATCGCCTTTGGAGTGAATCAGGCAGAGAATTTCAATCAACCAGTGGGTTCCTAGATAAGAAAGTAAAAGTGATTGTCACTCATTTCAACATGACTTGCGAACAAAAAAAATGATGGTAAAAATGCATGACACAAACTTTACCATCATACCCATTTTAAGCATGCAGTGGGGTAGTGCTAACCATTTTAAGCACGTTTCTGATTTTGCTCTTCCAATGTCCAGATACTTTACATCTTGAAAAACTCAAATTCTTGCCTTATTAACAACATTTCCCTAGTTATTCCATATTTCAGCCCTGGAACTCACCATGCTTTTTGTTTGAACACTAGGTATTTTGCTCCAATGCAATCCTATAGTACTTGTCCTTTTGTGCCCAAAATATTGCATCTAGCATGACTCCCTCAAGATTGCTCTATGTTGTAGAAGGTGTGAGACTATTCTTCCTTGTGAAGGCTGAATCGTATCCCATTGTATCAACATGCCACATTTTGTTATGCATTCATCTATGAAAGGATTTTAGGTTGCTCCACCTCTTGGCTGTTTGCTGAGGTCAATTTTATATGTTCCCCTTTCCCTTGACTTCCCAGAGCAGTGCCCCTTCCAAGGACACTGGCCTCAATCCTCGCCCTGTTTGCAATGTCCCTGCCCCCAGGCCCACCACATAGATTTATGATGCATGTCCTTTCAGTCCCTTGAATTTCTCAGGCTCCTGTCTGATTCCCAGCCCTTGTCCATGCTGACCCTCCTGCTCTAAAATCCCCCTCCTCACCCCATGGCCTCCCACTCCCTCTTTCATTTCTATGGAGCTGGTATTTCACCCTTAAGTGCTCACTGGTCATTCTCTGCCACCCCCCTCCCAGGCCACCACACAGATGCCTGGGTGACATTAGGATTCACTCCTGTATCTTCCTGCAGTAGCTTAGCTGACCCCTGCTGAGCACTTATGTCACTGTGTCCTAGTCTGAGTGGAAGTGGCCTGGGGCACTGCCCCTTCCACCCCCAAGCAGGGCTCACTGGCTGTAGAGGCCATGAACTCCATCTGCTGAGCAGGGGAGGAACACAGCCCTCGACGTTCTCATGGACAGTTCCTTTCTAGTTTCCTTACCTGACTTAGGGTATGACACCATTACTGTATCTTCATCCTTTATCACAAATTTAGTACATGCTTCTTTTAGGCCTTCATAGCTGTAATCAATAGAAGGGAAAGGTAACCCTTCAAACCACAGGTAGCCATCTGTCATGATGATGATTTCTCTGTGCTGTGCTGAGGTTCACACCATTGGACCTTGTGGGAGATACTGAGAGACTAGACTTTGAGTCCAGTCTTATTTTAACGAAATTAAAAAAAAATCATTGAAGATTCAAAAGAATCATTAACATTATTGGTGTCAAATTAACTGGTTATAAAACAAATTGTGACTGGTAGTCTAAAGTTTCACCGTATTGATCAATTTTAGACTCATACAGAGAACATGAGCCCTGTGACCTCAACATGATCTCATGACAGGACGCCGTGGCAAGTGCTGCAAAATAATCCCACTGATGAATCCCTGAGACCTGAGAAAGCCACTCTTTCTCATTTATTTGCATTTGAAGAGTTTTCAAAGTAGAATTTTTACATGCAACCGACTGATACAGTGTAATTGATACAGTGTAGCCTGGAAGCAGACAGAGGGACAGTGGACTGAAGACTCTCAGGCTAAAGGGCAGGAACCTGCTTCAGAGGCAGCAGATATGAGGTGGACTGTCACTGGACTCCAGGGTCCAGTCCTCCATTACCTTCTGATTAACCTGTGGGAGTGGGCTGCATGCTGTCAGGATTTAGGGGCTGAGATGAGAGAGTCTTCATATCTACCACATAAAGGGTCCGTCAAAGCTCTGCCTCATCCTTGGTCAAGCACTCTCAGTACCCAGGAGACTCAGGGACCAACAGCTCCACATGTTCAAGCAACACGCCCATCCAGGGGGCCCATAAATAGCCACCTACTGATTCCAGGAATGCTTCAGGATGCACCTACATCTTTGTCAGTCCCCATGGTCTTCTGTCAGCTAAAATGAAAACCGTCTAATGAATGTAAGCCCCACATTGGACGCAACAGTGTTTCATGTAGAATGTATGATAACCAGGAGCAAAATCATTGCCACTTTCCCTCTTAATTCTTGGGTGTATCAATAGACTGAGCACTTGTGTGTGACACCAGGAGCTGTTGATTCTGACCCTAAATCTCAGGTGGCCACAGACTGCTGAGTGTATCTTGGGGAGAATGACCAATAACTGGGCATGAGTAGTATTCTGGCTGAAGGAAAAGTGGATCCAATTAGGCAAAATTGCAGAGGGGAACCTGTTCTCTGACAGAATAATATGCACATGAAGAAAAGGAGCTACCTTTTTTTAATTTAATGATTTATATTTAAACCTTTTATTTATGTATTTATTTTGTGTGGTGCTCAGGATTCAACCCAGGCCTTACACATATTAGACAAGTGCTCTAGCACGGCGTCACAAGCCCAGCCACAAGAGCTACCTTTTTTAAACGGGAAAACTGTTTCACGAATTTTGTTTTATTCTTCGTATTGTCAGATAATTTTAGAGAAATATGTCACATTCACAGTGACCCTGTGACACTGTGAATGTCCAACAGTAATGGAGGGCTGACATGTCTCTGTAGAATTCTGAACATTTAATACCTGTGACCCGTTACATCATCCCACCAAGCCTATGGAACAAATGAGGCAGTCCTGAATCCACCCACCCGACAGTGTAAAATGCTTAACTTTCTTAAGCTCTTATTAGTGCACTGGGGTTCAACATTGCAGTGGTGTTCATTTTAACATAGCCATACAGACATGGAATTTAACTCCCTCCCATTCTGTGCCCAGTGACTATGCCCTCCGTCCCCACTTTTCCTCCTCTACCTACTAGTATTTATTTATGTATTCATGTGTTATCAATATGCATGAAGGTGAACCCACTGTGGTGTATTTATACATGCTCATGGCATAATTTTATCCATTTCATTCTGCACTTGCTTGCCCTTCCACCCCTCCCTATCCCCTCAGTCTATTTCTTCTTCTCCATTCACCTTCCCTCTATCTTTATGATATCAAAGCCCCCACCCCAGAGTTCCCCCATGCTTTGCTCTATCTTCTGCATATGAGCAGGACATTTAACCTTTCACTTTCTGAGTCTGGCTTATTTCACTTAGCAGGACAATCTCCCGTTACATCCATTTACCAGCAAAGTCCACAATTTCATTCTTTGTCATGACTTACTAATTCTCCTCTGTGTCTATAATGCCATATTTTCTTAATCCATTCGCTTGTTGATGTGTTCCTGGGCTACTTCCAAAACATGGCTCTTGTGAGTGATGCTGTTATCCACACTGATGCAGCAGCGTCACTCTAGTATACTGACTTTAGAGATGGGTAAATACCAAGGAGTGGGATTGCTGGGTCACCTTGGGGTTCCATTAGTCTTTTGAGGAATCTCCATAGGACTTTCCAGAGTGGCTGTGCTAATTTGCAGTTCCACCCATGATGTCTGAGTATACCCTTTCCCCGCTCATCCTCCACAGCACTCATTATTTGTGTTCTTGATGATTGTTATTCTGATGGAGTGAGATGAAATCTCAATGTCGTTTTGATTTGCATTTCCCTGATTGCTAGGGGTGTTGAACATTTTTTTTCATGTATTTGTTGGCCATTTGTATTTCTTCTTCTGAGAAGTGTCCATTTAGCAGTTTTGGTAAAATGGTTACTTTATTGGAAAGCATCCATGTGTCAAGAGTGTGATGACACTTACATATAGTTCCTCTGAAGCACCCTCTGCCTACACTTGTCACCAGATGTGACCCCAGTTATTGCTCTCTGCTGGATCCCACAGTGTCACCAGAGTCCATGCTCAGTACAGAACTTCTGTCCATGTCCTGTCGTGGACCAGTGTTATGTCTGAGGGAAAGCAGAGTCCAGCATCCACTGGACTACAGTGATCCCTGGGTGACCCCAGTCCAGCTCTGTGCTGCACTATGCTTGTTCCCAGTGGGAACCAAGTTCATGTTCTCTAATGGAAATGCTGGGTGACCCCTGAGTCAGTGCTGCACTGGTCACTGTTATCCCCAGTGCCCTCGAGTGCCTGCTGTGTACGGTCTGCAGTTATCCCTGGTGGCACAGGAGGCTCTGACTGTACTGCTACAATCTGTCCTTCCTGTCTAGTCCCTCTGCTAGGGTGGTCCAAACATGTCACCCATGGAGATTTTACAAGAAATCGATGAAGTAGATCCCTGTACTTCACCTTAATATAAAAGTCAACACAAAGTGGGTCAAAGACCTAGAACCAGACCAGAAACATTATAACTGTTATAAGAAGACATAGGGTCAATTCTCTGACGTATAGTTCCCGGCACTGACTTCCTCAATAAGTCTCCTAAAATTTAGGAAATCAAACAATGAATCAATAAATAGACACCAAATTAAACCAGTTCTGCAGAGCAACGGAAGCAAGTCTGTGAAGAAAGATGCAAGTAATGGGAAGAAAACTTTGCCAGCGACTCTTCTGACAGAATGTAAAAAGAACTAAAAAAAACCTTATTTCCAAATAACCAAATACTCCAATTAATAAATGTCAGATGAAAGTTCTTCAAAGACTAGGAGCAGAGTCACCATGTGACCCAACTCTAACACCCCTTGGTACTTATTCAAAAGAATTCAAATCAGCATAATAAACAGCAATACGTGCACAGCCAGGGCATGGACTAAAGTTGAGTCTATGGAATCTGGCAACACTGTGTGATCAAGCAGAGAGCTTGAACATGGGTCACAAATGGGGACAAGTTTAGGCAATAGTGTGCTTCAAAGGAACTTTATATCAAAGGGTCAACACAATCCTGACACATGAACTTATTCCAGCAAATTGACAATTTTACCAGGAGAACTGAACACATACTTCTCAGAAGAAGAAATACAAATGGCCAAGAAATACATGAAAAAATGTTCAACAACATCCCTAGTTATCACAGAAATGCAAATCAAAACTACATAGAGATTTCCTTTCACTCCAATCAGAACGACAATCATCAAGAACACAAATAGTATATGCTGGGGAGGATGTGGGGGGATGGAGACACTCATCCATGGTGGACATGCAAATTAGTACAAACACTCTGGAAATTGGCATGGGTTACCCATGTGACCCAGCTATCCCACTCCTTGGTATTTACACATCTCTAAAGTCAAATACTATAGTGATACAGCCACATCAATGAATATTATAGCATAACTCACAAGAACAAAGGTGTGGAAATAGCACAGCTACCCATCAATAGGTGCATGGATTAAAAATCATGGTGTATATACACAGTGGACAGTTCCTAATTTATAAGGAAGAACAAAATTATGGCATTTGGCAGTAAAACTATGGAACTGGTGAACATCATGCTGACTTAAACAAACCAGGCTCAGAAAGCATACAGGTAGATGTTGTTGCTTATATCCAGAATCTAGAGTAAAGTAAGAGGGAAAACCAGGTGGGGGTTCTAATATCATAAAGATAGAGGTAAGCTCAGAGGACTAGAAGGAGACCCAGGGAGTAGGGAGATGGATGGGAAAGGTAAGGAAATGCAGAAGAAATTAACAAATTTATGCTGTGTGCAATATAAGTAGACCACAGTGGATTCCTCCTTAATGCATATCTATAAAGCATAAATAAATAAATACTAGCAGTTAAATAAATAAATACTAGCAGTTAAGGAGGGAAAAGTAGGGTAGGAAAATCACAGTCATTGGGGTCTGAAGTGGAGCAAATTATATCCCATGCATGTATGATTGTGTCAAAGCAAACCCAAATATAATGTATAAACATAGTGCACTATTAAACTGTAACAAAGTTCACCATTTTACTCTGTTGAGTGTGTGGAGTTCATGACCTCCTCATTCAATTAATGGGATTGGTGGATGATGTAATGGTTGATATGTATGAAGTGTTCAGAATGCTGTAGAAACATGTCAGCCCTGCATTATTAGTGGACATGACAGGGTCATTGTGATTGCCATAACTCTCTAGAATTACTTGGCAATACTGAGAATGAAACAAAATTCATGAAACAGTTTCCCCTTTAAAAAAAAATGATAGGTTTTTTTGTCTTGATGTGCATAGTATTCTGTCCAGAGCACAGGTATCCCTTGCAACTTTGCCTAATTCAATTCCACTCTTCTATCAGCCAGAATAATACTCAAGCCCCAATTGTTGGTCTTTCTCCCCAAGAGGCACACAACAGCCTCTGGCTATATCAGATTTACACT